GGCAGTGTGGTAGGATCCTCCACATCACTTTTATACAGGAAACATATAGGCTTACACTCATATTACATGACATTTGATACGAAGAAATAAAACCCAACTTATATATATACTTATGCATATAAATCCAAGCCTAGTGGCCCATATTACTAAGGCTAACCCAGGGTCCACTGTGTGAACAGCTGACTGTCTATGACTCCCTCCTGATGGCCAGTTTCCACTGTGTGAACGGCCGACTGTCTATGACTCCCTTCTGATGGCCAGTTTCCACTGTGTGAACGGCTGACTGTCTATGACTCACTTCTGATGGCCATCAGTCAGTCTTTATAGTATTTTTTGGTATGCTGCTACCCATTCTTATTACTAGGTAAAATGCTACAATGTTTGTGGAAGTCTTGTTCAGGGCACAGAACAGTATACTGTTTTATATATATATTAAAGTCTACATGGCTATCCAAACATCCTGTTAACAGCCGGTGAAGCAACTTTTTATGAAAATTTGTTGGAAACAATGCTTTTACATGAATTACATGTCTAAGAACACAAGACAGAAAAAAGTAGTTTGTGTTGCAAAGTTTAAATGTACTTTTTGGTACAAATTGGAAGATATGTGTTTATTAATGTATTTAAATACTGTATAATTATAATAATTCATTTTAATGCATTCATTTTTAAAAAAACATGAATTTTACCATCAGATGCCTTATTACAATATGTTTAGAAGCGGTTTTATTCAGCACATTTTACCAGATTTACTAGAATATTTTATTTTTCATATTGTGTAACTACCTCGGTCCATATAAAATAGGTGCTATGTGAAATGTCAAATGATAATTATCATGGAGTGGTTTTTTTAGAGTTTGCTACATTAGTTTGATATGTCATTGCCTATAGACCAGTCATCAGACAATAGATTTATGTGAAATAATTAGAAATTACAATTAGTCATGTATATTGGGTCAAAGGCTTCATAAAATAGGTTTTTATGTCATATATAAATATGTAAGACAGAAGTTGCTTTTAGCATTAAATTAAATTGTCTTATTTCAATTTCAATTACGTGCATAATTTTCAGAAGATAAAAAATGAACTACATCCTTACAATATTCTAATTAAACCTTACAAATGAAAAAAAACACTGAATTTTCATCTATTAACTGCAATACTTGTTCAGTATGTATAAACATGCTACAATGTTATAACTCTTCTATATAAGTGGGCAGATTTATAGAGAAGTGTTTCATATTAACAAGCTTACAGGTAACTGTAACTCCAAATGACTAATGGTCTGGGTGTATAAAAGTTTAAAATGACCTGGATAATGAGAAAATAACAGAGACAAGCCGATATACAATTTACTATAAAATCTCCATATGTCCCCAGTTCTACCAGCTTTGGAGCATGGGGAAATGTATTTTTGTAATGTTTGGTCTCCGTGACATTATATTTCCTTCAGCTGCTAACTAGGTATGCCAATCAATATCTCGGTATTCTAGGTGCCATATGTTGCCAATATGTGTGATACGGTTTTCCTCAGAAATTAACCACAGTTTGTTTGTGTGATGTCAGTCCATCAGTGATAATAGATAATACATTTTAATGTGCTTTGTGTAGTATACATGTAGTAACCTAAATCTTTCTACAATAGATAAGGTGTCAGTACCACACCAATTTTGACATAAACAATATTCCAGGCAGTGTATATATATAATGATATATAAGGCATATAAAAGGAAATATGTATACCTGGTAATCTTATAAATTTACAAAAAATGTCGCCAGGTTTCTTGTAACGAGTTTGTCTGCCTTTTCAAACTTGAACCTTTATCTTTGATCTATTGGTGGGAAACAGGAGAAAAGAATGCTTGGATCAATATTTGTGTAGCGCCTGTTCTAATTGAAGCCTTGAGGAAGGTGTTAATTGATGTTGGGCCCAGTAAGGAAGTGGTTAGTTAACATGTGTACAATGTTGTGGACTTACAGGAATTGATTTATCAAAGGTTTGATACAGATCCTTGTCTGTCTACAGAGCAGATCAGGTGTAGATCCTTACCATTATCTAGGCTTGCTCCATTTAAAAACCTCAACTAAAGGCAGCAAGTTGTCATCAGAACAGGGATAATTACTCGTTTTTTATTGTAAATTTTGTGAAAAATTCAAAAGTCATTAATCAAAAGAAAATAGTGAATACTTTATACAAAACATATATTAGGTATATAATTATGTAATGAAAGATGAATAAAGATCAGCTCTGGCAGGGCTCCACAATGTTTCAAACAGAGAAAATTGAATATATAATGTACTACTACTGTAAATCGGAAGAAGAACCTAGACACAATTTAGTGTACCTAGATCATGTGTTTTGAATTTTTTCAGTCTGTTTGAATTAAATGTTATCTTACATTTATATACTTCTGAACTATGAAGATATCAATTTTATGCTATTTTTAAATTGAACACTAGACATTTTTATCTAGATATGTGATTAGCACTAGTAATAAGATTGGTTGTGTGAACACATGTATCCTGTTTTAGGTCAGAAGTTCTGTCCAAAGTGATATATATTAGGTTGTTTGTCTCCAGGCTTGTTTTTCCTGACATATCTTAATTGAAATCTGCCATTAGACATTTGTGTCTCTTTATAGTGTGTTGTTCTCCACTGCCTTTAATTCTTTTACACTTTGAGTGAGATACACACCTGCTTTAGTGGTGTCTTCTCGTCGCTCTAAATTAATTTTATATCTTTCATCTCTCTCACATAAAGTGCATCCTCAGGTGTGTTGTGGCCCTGGGTATGTACACATGTACAGACACAGCTTCTACAAATTTTAGGATACCGTAATTCATCCTTATAAACATGCCGGTCTTAAATACGACATACTTACATTATTTTGGTACAAAAATGGATGCCCTTAAAAACAACTACACTTGCTCTAGTCGTAGTTACTAAAATTTTATTGGATATCTATAAATAATTTCTGCGTAAGAAATTCAAATAAAATTGCATACACTGTATAGATGTATACTGGTATATTATGAAATAATCATCTTCCCATATATAAAGAGTTATCATTGCCTTTTTAAAAGAGGTAACACATTGGGGACATTGCTGGGATGAACATTATTTCTCCACAGGGGTGAGAGCATCAAAATTGTGACATCTAGTATAAATCACTTTTTTTTTTTTCAATCTCTCTTTTAGCTATTTATTACACACTCCTGGCAAACATACAGTCTGTCATTTTAAACCACTGATTTTAAATGCAGCCAAAATTTGAAAGAAAAAAAATCAATTTCAAAGGCAAGTATTTTCCTTTGAACTTGGAAAGTGCTAGCAGGAGAAAAGTTTTAACATATGTTTTTTTTTAATCGTGTATAAACGTCTAGCTTTGATAGTCAACATATTCAGTTTACAAACCCGACTTTATATAAAATATTTTACATGTACATGTACATCATTTATTTTTTGTTTATTTTCTATGTGTTTTATTGTAATTGCATGTATTATTCATTTTAATTAGAAATAAAGAATGCATATGTGAACCCAGATTCTTATTTCTTTCTTGTATGTTTACTTCATCTGAACTTTGTCAAGTTATCCTCATGGCAGTTTTCACATTTACCAAACCTGAGATTTCACAAAGACTGTTACGACAATTTAACTCAACATGTGTTGGATTATCCAGAGTTTGTTCAGTAATTTCGAAATGCATATACTAAGAAGGAATTTGTATGTGTTGTCATGGATAGATCAGAATTCATTTGTATACTACTGTTTATTGAATATAGCTCTTTGTAAAAACACAGAATATCACCCAGAATGATTAATTAAAATAATTTATGCTGTATTATTTATGCCATACTGCGGCGTCGAGCGTCCGGCCGTCAACTTTTTCTTTTAAACGACTTCTGAAGAAGAACTGGAAGACCTAGGGTCATGATATTTGGTCAGTAGGTACCTGGGATGGAGTTCTATAAATTTTCCTCATTAAAATGACCTTGACCTACTTTCAAGGTCACAGGGGTCAAATAAGTTCAAAAATTCAAACAACAATATCCTAAGAATTATTTGGACTAGAGTTATGATACTTAGTAATGTTATGGAGACCAGCAGTGCAAATCCTTTTCTTAGTTACACTTATGAGGTCAAAGGTCAACTTTAAGTGCTAGATGGGGGTCAAATGTCAACATGGGTTAAAAGCTTTAACAATCTTCTTCTCAAGTTCCATAAGGCCCAGGGTCATAATATTTGGCCAGTAGGTACCTTGGATGGAGTGCTACAAAGTTTCCTCATTAAAATGACCTTGACCTACTTTCAAGGTCACATGGCTCAACTATGTTAAAAACTTCAAACAACAATATCCTAAGAACGACGATATCCGAAGAAGCATTTGGTCTAGAGTCATGATGCTTGGGTATGTTACGTAGACCAGCAGTGCAAATCTTTTTCTAAATTACAGTAATGAGATAAAATGTCAACTTTAAGTGCTAGCCGGAGTCAAAGGTCAGTGTGGGTTAAAAGCTTTAAAATTACAATTTCAAATTTCAAACAACAATATCTTGAGAAACGTTTAAGAGATGTTAAAATGTCTTGTGTTCTAGTTACCATATTTGGTCTGAAGTTACCTATGCGTCAGTTTCATGTAACAAAAGAAACAGGTGAAAGATACAGGCCCTCTGGGCCTCTTGTTTATGATAAGATCATGTGTTGACTTTTCAAACTTCCTGGTTTGCTGGTCGGGTAAGGATACAGAGTAAGATAACACCTTACATAGTTGTAACTGTGTTGTAACTGATCACTGTAACAGTTACCCCTACATCTGTAAGTAATACACATACCAAATCATGTGGAAGTCACATGCCTACAGGTCAAGCTACTGGATAAAAAATAAAAAGGTGTCTATTTTATTTATACATTTGCAATTCTGACTAGTTTCTATAAATAGTTAGGCTGGTAGACCTTTGCTTTGGTAGACAGCTATGATATTATACACTAGGTTGGGTATGTAGAGGTGTACAGTGTTGTTTAGATGTGCATTAGACACAACTGTTATAATATACTTATGGTGTGGACGGGAATATCTGTCAGTACAGATAGCAACTTATCTCACTGGCTAGTGGGACTTATTTCTACCTGTAATGTAGGGATGTTGGTGCACATTTACTAGTAAGGTAAGTGAGGTATTGGAAGTATTTTACCTGCTAGTTGAGGCCAACAGTGACCTTTGATCTGATCTGTCATTTTCTCCTTATAAATTGGCTATTACAGGACTTTAGAACTAAAAATATGGTCTGTCAATGAATTAAGAAGTAAAAGGGAATTATTAGGTAATCCGGTAATTTGACACTTGAGAATGCTCCAGGGAATGATGGTATAGGGAGCTTAAAAATACACCAGAAAATTTGACACATAAATAAATGTCTGTCCCTATGATTCAAACATTGTGGGCTAAATTTGTAAATATTTTATACACAAACTATCTGGGCATACTTTCAAACTCATAAATCAATATGCACTATCAAACTCATAAATCAATATGCACTAGGTCCTTATTTGGAAAAAAATGATTTTTATCACATAAATATGAAGAAAGGTTATTAAATTAGGACTTATCTAAACTTGTAATTTAGTTGATCCCATAATTGTCGATATGTCTATTTCAATGTAGGACTGTATCAGGGACAGTGATTGACTGTTACCGTTTCAATGTTGGACTGTGTCAGTGACAGTGTACGACTTATCGTTTCAATGTTGGACTGTTTCCCTTTCAATGTAAGACTGTATCAGTGACACTGTCGGACTGTATCAGTGCCAATGTTGGACTGTGTCAGTGACAGTGTCAGACTGTTACCCTTTCAATGTTGGACTGTATCAGTGACAGTGTTGGACTGTTACAGTTTCAATGTTGAACTGTTTTGTTTCAATGTTAGACTGTATCAGTGACAAGCATCGGACTGTTACCGTTTCAATGTTAGACTTTGTCAGTGACAGTGTCAGACAGTGTCAGACTGTATCAGTGACGGTGTCAGACTGTTACCGTTTCAATGTTGGACTGTATCAGTGACAGTGTTCGACTGTATCAGTGACAGTGTTCGACTGTATCAGTGACAATGTTGGACTGTATCAGTGACAATGTTGGACTGTATCAGTGACGTTGTCAGACTATTACCGTTTCAATGTTGGACTGCATCAGTGACAGTGTCAGACTATTACCGTTTCAATGTTCGACTGCATCAGTGACAGTGTCAGACTGTTACCGTTTCAATGTGTGACTGCATCAGTGACAATGTTGGACTGTATCAGTGACGTTGTCAAACTATTACTGTTTCAATGTTGGACTGTATCAGTGACAGTGTTCGACTGTATCAGTGACAGTGTTGGACTGTATCAGTGACAGTGTTGGACTGTATCAGTGACAATGTTAGACTGTATCAGTGACAGTGTTAGACTGTATCAGTGACAGTGTTGGACTGTATCAGTGACAATGTTTGACTGTTACCGATTCAATGTTCGACTGCATCAGTGACAGTGTCAGACTGTTACCGTTTCAATGTATGACTGCATCAGTGACAATGTTGGACTGTATCAGTGACGTTGTCAGACTGTATCAGTGACAGTGTTAGACTGTTATCGTTTCAATGTTGGACTTATCAGTGACAGTGTTGGACTGTATCAGTTACAGTGTTGGACTGTATCGGTGACAGCGTTGGACTGTATCAGTGACAATGTTAGAATGTATCAGTGACAATGTTAGACAGAATTTTCAATGTTAGACTGTATCAGTAACAACGGAAGACTGTATCAGTGAAAGTGTCAGACTGTTACCGTTTTAATGTTGGACTGTATCAGTGACAGTATTGGACTGTATCAGTGACAATGTTAGATTGTATCAGTGACAATGTTAGACTGTATGAGTGACACTGTCGGACTGTATCTGTGACAATGTTGGGCTGTATCAGTGACGGTGTTGGAATGTATCAGTGACAATGTTGGACTGTCTCAGTGACAGTGTTGGACTGTATCGGTGACAGCGTTGGACTGTATCAGTGACAATGTTAGACAGAATTTTCAATGTTAGACTGTATCAGTAACAACGGAAGACTGTATCAGTGAAAGTGTCAGACTGTTACCGTTTTAATGTTGGACTGTAGCAGTGAGTGTCAGACTGTTTCCGTTTCAATGTCGAACTGTATCAGTGTAGGAATGTATGACTGCATCAGTGACAATGTTGGACTGAATCAGTGACGTTGTCAGACTGTATCAGGGACAATGATAGACTGTATCAGTGACAATGTTAGATTGTATCAGTGACAATGTTAGACTGTATCAGTGACGTTGTCAGACTGTATCAGTGACAAGGTTAGACTGTATGAGTGACACTGTCGGACTGTATCTGTGACAATGTTGGGCTGTATCAGTGACGGTGTTGGAATGTATCAGTGACAATGTTGGACTGTATTAGTGACAATGTCTTACTGTATTAGTGACATTGCCGGACTGTATCTTCAATGTCAGACTGTATCTTTAAGGTTGGACTGTATCATGACAATGTTGGACTGTATCAGTTACGTTGTCAGACTGTATCAGTGACAGTGTTAGACTGTTATCGTTTCAATGTTGGACTTATCAGTGACAGTGTTGGACTGTGTCAGTGACGTTGTCAGACTGTATCAGTGACAGTGTTAGACTGTATCAGTGACAGTCTTGGACTGTATCAGTGACAGTGTTGGACTGTATCAGTGACAATGTTAGACAGTATTTTCAATGTTAGACTGTATCAGTGACAACGGAAGACTGTATCAGTGACAGTGTCAGACTGTTACCGTTTTAATGTTGGACTGTAGCAGTGAGTGTCAGACTGTTTCCGTTTCAATGTCGAACTGTATCAGTGTAGGACCGTCACTGTTTCAATGGTTGGTTGTGTCAGTGACACTGTCGGACTGTATCACTGACAATGTTGGACTGTATCATTGACAGTGTCAGACTATTACCGTTTCAATGTTGGACTGCATCAGTGACAGTGTCAGACTGTTACCGTTTCAATGTTGGACTGTATCAGTGACAGTGTCGGACTGTTACCGTTTCAATGTTGGAGTGTACCTTTAATGTTGGACTGTATCAGTGACAACGGAAGACTGTATCAGTGACAGTGTCAGACTGTTACCGTTTTAATGTTGGACTGTAGCAGTGAGTGTCAGACTGTTACCGTTTCAATGTCGAACTGTATCAGTGTAGGACCGTTACGTATACTGTTTCAATGGTTGGCTGTGTCAGTGACACTGTCGGACTGTAGTTTCAATGTTGATTTGATTTGGTTTGGTTTAGTATTGTATAACCTCCTATCTACAGCTATGGTCATTTAAGGACGGCCTCCCCTGTGTGCAAGATACATGCGTGTAGTGTATGCGTGTGTGTTTGGGTAGGCTGCGATGTGATGCCGACTTTATAGTACTACCTCACTGAAACATACTGCCGAAGACACCCAGCAGGACACCCCACCCGGTCACATTATACTGACAACGGGCGAACCAGTCGTCCCACTCCTAAACTTCTGAGCGTTAGCAGGAGTAGAAACTACCATTTTTACAGACTCTGTCTATGTCTTGGCCAGGGGACAGGACACACAGCCTTCCTCACAGGGGCGAACGCTTAACTAAAGGCCAAAAGTGAGGCATTGTCAAGGGAGACATTAAGAAGAAGAAAGTTGTTTAGAAAGGAGAAGAAAGATAAGATCCCAAATTTAACCGCCTCTTACGATCATGCAATGGGGGCGGCAGGTACAGTTCTTACGCCCTACCTGCAGAGACTTTCAATGTTGGACTGTATCAGTGACAGTGTCAGACTGTTACCGTTTTAATGTTGGACTGTATCAGTGACAGTGTCAGACTGTTACTGTTTCAATGTTGGACTGTATCAGTGACAGTGTTAGACTGTTATCGTTTCAATGTTGGACTGCATCTGTGACAGTGTTGGACTGTATCAGTGACAATGTTGGACTGTATCAGTGACAGTGTTAGACTGTTATCGTTTCAATGTTGGACTGTATCAGTGACAATGTTGGACTGTATTAGTGACATTGTCGGACTGTATCTTCAATGTCAGACTGTATCTTTAAGGTTGGACTGTATCAGTAACAATGTTGGACTGTATCAGTAACAATGTCGGACTGTATCTTCAATGTTGGACTGTATATTCAAGGTTGGACTGTATCAGTGACAATGGAAGGCTGTATCAGTGACAGTGTCAGACTGTTACCGTTTCAATGTCGGACTGTACACATGCCGAATTTAGCGTTTGTTAAATAATTTGCTACGAAATTGATCTAAGAATAATTCTTCTTGCAGTGATGGCAATGTCAGACAATTAATTATTTATTCTACAATAGTTGTATACCCAATGGTTCTACTTATCAACCAATAAACAACGGGGCTATTTCTATAAGATATCTCCCCTACCTTATTTCGGCGTGTCTCCCTAAACTTCGCGTTTATAATTAGCTGTTGCAAGGAAATAACGATATTTTTGTGAAAGAAATTACAAATCAAAAGAACGGCAGAATAGTCTTTATTAAATCTTTCCTAAAATGAAAATGAGTTCTTTATAAGTCCCCAATGAGAGTCTCAATAAGTCCCCCATATCTACAACAGGTAGGTGTCATTTAAACCCATAAAACATGTAAAATTACTCTGAACACATTATAATTTAAGTCAAAATATAGCTGTAACAAATTCTCATGTGTCTGTGGGCGCTATTACATACCGACATATAAATTCAACCTATCAGTCCGCAGTACCTATGATCCATCCACTCTATTTGCCGCTCATACCCCTATACATAAATGATACACACTATAAGTCTTCCATTTCTTAATACCATACTCTCTAAAAGTCTTAGTCGCATACCTGCATATGATAGACGCTATTAGTCCCCAATACCTACATATGATACACGCTATTAGTCCCCAATACCTACATATGATAGACTATATTAGTCCCCATGCCTACATATGATATTCTCTATGAGCCCCAATACTTACATATAATAGACCCTAATAGTCCCCATGCCTACATATGGTATTCTCTATTAGCCCCCATACTTACAGATAATAGACTCTGTTAGTCCCCAATACCTACATATGATAGACTCTGTTAGTCCCCAATACCTATATATG